CCAGTCGCCGGGCAGGGTGGAGGGGTCGGAGCGGGGCGGGTGGTGCCAGGCGCCCCAGGTGTGCGGCAGGGACCACACGGGGACGGCAGTGTGATGAGCGCGGTGGAGTGCTGGCTCAGCGGGAGCCTTGGGAACGCAGCAGTCCTGCCTGCTTGCGGGGCCTACGGGTTCTGGCGTTGCTCTTTTATATCTAGCCGTTCGGAAAAAGTTACTTCCTGTTAGTTAATCGTGCAAGAGGCGATGCCCTTAGGCCCTTGGGGATTGGAGTCTGGTGCAGGAAAGCCTCGTGCAGAACGAGGTGGTAGGGTTTGAAGAGACGTGCGTTGTTAATCGAGTGTTGTGATGGAATCCAGCTCTGGGTAGAACCTGCGCTTGCATCAGGAGCCATGTGGTCAGTTGATGAAATCGCTGAGCTGTGCTACCTGCATTATAGGACTAGACTCCCTAAGCAGGGGAAACCTGATCCAAACAGGGAATGGACTTCACTGTCAGCCATTGTCAAAGTGGAGTCTGCATCCCAAAGAGAGGGTCTTGGTAGCCTAGGGAACTTGCAGGGTAAGAATGAGCTCGGGATGGGCGGGAATGGGGAGAGGAGGTGGCTGTCCTTGGTGCTTTTTCTTTCTTTTTTTTTTTTTTTTTTCAAGATATCGTTAAAAAATCAGAGACCCCTTCCTGTCCTGTTCTGTCTCCACCCAAATTCTTTACTCTGTGACTGGAAAAGCTCTTCTAACTTTTGTCTGGAATGCCATTGCCAGGTGTGTGCTGTCTGACGTGTCAGGCCTGAGGTCATTTTCCTGCTATGGATCATAGACCTTTCCTAGCACCAGTGCTTCTACCTACTGTGTTCCACGCTCAATCCCATAGTGTTTCCTTTCTGGAATGTTGCGGTTTCGTGCCTCTTTGTACTTTCCCTTCTACACAACGTTCTGTGTGTTGTCTTACCGGAATGACTGTGTGAGAGCAATGTTTCTGGCAATAGTTTGTGGTGATAGTTTGTACAGTTGTTTCTTTTTTCAGTAACCAAGGAAGTTGTTGCTATGGGAACTGGAACAAAATGTATTGGCCAAAACAAAATGAGAAAGACTGGTAAGTATGGTGTAAAATTCCAGAACAGGCTACCTGTCCTGCCTTCTTTCTTGCTGGTGTTACAGAATCAGTGAAAATGTCCAAGTCATTTTGCCCAGAATTATTCCGGATTGAAGCCAGAACTGTAAGGGAGGCCTTACCTTGTCAAGGCAAACAAACCATTTTTATGAGATAATGTGTAGTTTGGGCCCCGAGTCTGCATACTCAAAGACTTCACAACTAAAAGCAAAATAAAAAATAAACAAAATAATTGTGCTTTGGGTACCTGTTATGGTGAGGTTGTGTTCTGAGCTGATGCAAAAGATACCACTGCTCAGCTAGGATAGAGGTGGCACCAGGAAGGTACTAGCTTCTCCCTTCCTGCATGTTCTGCAACTAGGTAGTGTTAAGTGTTTGTAAGAGTAATGTTTGGGATAGATAACATGACTTCTCACAATTACCACTTCTTACTGTTTATTGTAGGACTTGCTCTGCATGTCCATTTTTTAATTCATAATGTGCGTCTCCTCTGCTAGGAGAGGGGAGAAGCATAGTAATGGTGAGTGCTTGAAAAGTGGCTAAGGAGGAAAAGTGTTCATGAATATGTAGGTTCAGGGCTTTCTACTCTCTTCAGACTTCAGGGGAGGAGTAGATTAAGATACAGAAAGGGTTTTGCATGTATCAGTTTAGGCTGTTTCCATCCTTTGTTTTGAAATGAATTAGTGAAGCAAAAGAGAAGAAACTTTTGTAGCTTAGATTTTTGTGGATGTTTCTTGTGACTTAGCCATCTCAGAAGAGTATTAGTACAGACGTTTTTCTTACTGAGTTGGGAAAGTTGTGGTTAAACTGTTGTACTGTAGCAATCCATATAAGAAGGGTCAGAGTAGAAAATTGACCAGGAAAGACTCGTTTGTCTCCTTGTTGTTTGTGTTCAGTGATCTTAAGTTTAGAAAATATTGTCGTCTTATGATAATGTTAAATTAAAATTAATTTAACTAATTTTTAAATTAACTTGGTGGTAGGTCACAGTTAATGGTTACCTGTTAGAACATGTCTGCACTTTTAGAACTGTTCAAGGGAGCATCTGTCACTTTTATTCCTGAAATAAAAGCTGGTCTAAAGATCCTGTTCCTTTAGACACCACAGTAGGCAGACACTGCAGGGAGTCTGAAGATGAGATGTGTAAACTTGTTAAATACCACTGTAATTTACAAGAAAAGTAGTTAAAAGTGTAGAACATAGTGCAAAAAGAAACTTCAATCCATAGCTTAAAAAATACTTGAAATATTCTGGATGTCATGCTTATTCTGAGCATGTCAAGATTTACTCTTAAGAGCAAGTCAGGAGGGTTTTGAAGGAAGGCAGTGTTCAACTCCAAGGATTTTTCAGTATTGGAAATGTTAAAATTGGGTGTTCAAACAAGTCTCTGACTTGCTGCAAAGTGAAGACATTTATCCTTCATTTGTTAGAGGCTGTTGACCTCCTTTTGTGGTGATTGGAAGTTTAAGTATCTTACAATAACCTAATACCAATGTGAAACTTTCAAATGCTAACAGATCTGGAGAACTGTCCTATGTCAAATTCTGTTTGCTTTGTTGTCTCCTTTTCAGTAATGATTCATATCATTTGGTTGTTGCTTTAGGAGACATTTTGAATGACAGTCATGCTGAAATTGTGGCCAAGAGGAGCTTCCAGAGGTGAGGCATGAAGTCCATGTGCTGTTAGTGCCACTCGAGGTGGTTGTGATACTAATGGTTTGACCTGTTGTTGAAATAGCCAGATTTTGCAGCTTCAGGTATGAGAATGTAATGAAAGACTGTGTTACTTCTGTGTGGGCAACACTCTTTTCCCCTTTGTTAGGAGGATTTTAGCATAAGTTTTACACTTCTGGGTGGTGGTAAGGCCCTTTCACAAAAGCTTTTTGCTTCCTCGTTCTTTTAGCATCTCTGTACAAAGAAGTAGGATCAGATTTCATGTGACATCAGTGCAAGTCTGACGACTGGTGGTCAAGGGTAGAATTTCTGCTGTTCCCACATACCAGTGCTCTTGTTCACATGGGATAAGCTGGTTCGAGGAACTGATCCAGGAGAACAGTAATTCTGCAGAAATGAGTACATGCTATGAGGAGAGACTAAGGGAGTTGGGATTGTTTAGCCTGGAGAAGAGGAGGCTCATGGGAGACCTTATCGCCCTCTACAACTACCTGAAAGAAGGCTGTAGACAGGTGGAGGTTGGTCTCTTCTTGCAGGCAACCAGCAGTAGGACAAGAGGGCACAGACTTAAGCTCTGCCAGGAGAAGTTTAGGTTGGATATTAGTAAGAAGTTTTTTACAGGGAGAGTAGTCAGGCATTGGATTGGGCTGCCTGGGGAGGTGGTGGATTCACTGTCCCTGGATGATACTGGATGTAGCACTTAGTGCCATGGTCTAGTAACCACAGTAGGGTTGGACTCGATCTTTGAGGTCTCTTCCTACCTGGTTGATTCTATGATTCTATTCTGTGTCTTGCAATTTGATGGCACTGAGCTGAGTCTCACAGAATCAGATGAGTTGCAGTGCTGGTAAAAACAGTGGGAGGAGAGGACCTTGTATATACAATTTGAGGAAATAGTTAGCTCTGCTGAATCCAACCCTTTGAGGTCTGTTAGAAAGCTCCAATAATGTGTTTGCATTTATGGAGTGTGTTGGATCCCATCTATTGATAGGAGTATAACTGATTGGCTCCTCATGGACTACATCAGGAAAGAACAGGCACTAGAGGGCATCTAAGTTTTGTTGTTTTCCCATGCATCAAAAATGAAGTTAATGTTTCATGAAAACTTTCTTCCTAACAGGTATCTTCTCCATCAGATGTCGCTGGCAGCTTCCCAGCAGCAATGTAGTATCTTTACTCCAGGAACTGAAACTGGGAAATGGAAACTCAAACCAAATATCACATTTGTTTTCTTCTCCAGTCATACCCCATGTGAGTATGCTGAAGTGAACCAATTACCTTGCTCCTGCTTGTAGAATCTTTTCTGCCCCTGGCCTTTCTTTGGTCTCTCTTTGGTCTGGAGTGAGAGCAAGGCAGTAATTTGTGTTAGCATTATGTACCTGAAGATGTACTTGGCTGGTCTTCCACAAGTAGATTTGGTGTTTTATCTCACCGAATGTGATTCATGAGAACTGAGTACATCTGATGTACTGCTCATTACATAATGGAGTATTTTACTTTCAACAATAACAGCTGCTCTTTTCTTTTCCAGAAACTAACACTTGTCAGAGGTCCTGTCATATCACCTGCTTGTTTGGCTTTGAACACTATCTCCTAGGATTCAGATTTTAATAAAAATACTGACATTTACCACCATTCTTAATAGCAACCAAACAACAAATAATCCCCCCACTAACCAACAAACCCCCCTTCAACCAACCAACAATACCCCAGTGAAACAAACAAGCAAAAACACTAAACACAGAAAAGTCATACCAACAAGCAAACAAAGCCCCAAACCAAACAACAAAACCCCCAAAGCAACCTATACAACCCAACAAACCAAACCCAAACTCCTATAAACCAACCAAAAAAGCCCCACCCACGAAACATCACCAGCTCCCCAACTCACAACTTCTTATGGATTGTAAGGCAGCTTGTGTCACGGTAAACACTTTGTGTGTTTTAAAAAAACAACACCACAGAGATGAGATTTGGCTGCATAATGAAGGAATGTGACCTCTTGGTCTACCATTTCATGTGTCTCAATGTTACCATGCTCTCACCAGTGTGTTCCTCAACTGCTGGTCTGTAACAGGGCAAAGCCTAAACACTCTAAAAATATACCTCATCAGTACTTCATGTAGCGAGTTAGTTGCTCATGACTTTGATGGCATTGGAATATGCAGTATTATATTTCTTCATTTGTGCAATTTGAGAACAGAATCTACATCTTCAAATGTAATAGAATAATTTTCTGACTTCCTTTTTCTCACATAGTGAGAAATTTCTTACATACATCCTAAGGCTTGTCAGGCATGCTTTGCTTTGAACTGAGCTTCAGAATTTTACTTGTTTCAGTGATACAGACTAAAGTTTTCACACTTACTTGACAGATTATTCCTTGAGGTTCGTGTTTAGTTAGATGAGACTGGTTTTCCTGTGAGTCTTCAGCACTGCTCATATTCTGTCAAATGCTTTTGATACCTTTTACTTTACAGATTTTGTTTTAAATTTTGCTTTTGTGATTATTTCTTAGGTAGAATGCAAAATTTTAAGCATGTATTGGCTCAAATTTCAGTGAAATCTGATTCATCATTGCACAGGACAACTTTGTTTTAGAAACATGTCCTCACAGTTAAGTTTTCCTGAGTGCAAATCTGTGAAAGCTAGTGGTAGTTGTAATGTTACTGGTGTGATGTGTTCCAGTCATGTGGTGTGGTTTTGTCCAGTTTTGTTATTTCTTTTGTTCTAGGTGGAGATGCTTCTATTATTCCGATCAGTGAACCAGAGAACCAGCTTTCTGAGACAGTGGCTGGAGGTGATGCTGCTGGGCAGTCAACAGAGTGTAGAAGTAATGATGATCAGTTGTGTCCAGAAGATAAAAGGAAATCAGAGACAATGGCAAGTAATCATAGAATCAAGAGGATGAAAACTGGCAATGATGGTTGTTTTTCCATAACCACTGAAGACCTCTCTGTTCAGCACGAATCTGTGAAACGAGAAGACTACACAAATCCAAAGAGCTTTGCATGTTCTGCAGAGATGCAGACAGCTAATAAGGAGACTGGCTTAGTGACACCAAAGGTAGTAGATGTTCACAGAACTGGAGCAAAATGTGTACCTGGAGAGCTGGATGATGCCCGAACACCTGGGCTGGAGTACCACCGTGTGGGGTTATTACGGGTGAAGCCAGGTCGTGGAGACAGGACGTGCTCTATGTCCTGCAGTGATAAACTGGCTCGCTGGAATGTGTTAGGGTGTCAGGGAGCTCTTCTGATGCATTTCCTGCAGTATCCAGTGTATCTGTCAGCAGTTATAGTGGGGAAGTGTCCATATAGCCAAGAAGCTATGCGGAGAGCAGTTATTGAAAGGTAAGCCCTCTTCTCTGGACATCAGATGTATGTGTGCCTGGTGACAGTGAGTATCAGCAGACAACATGTGTCACACAAATACCAGCACTTCAGTAAGGTTTTGGCACTGTGTCTTGTAAGATCCTTGTAGAGAGCCTGTGACAGTATGAGCTGGATTGAAAACTGTCTGAATGACTGTGCCCAGAGGGTAGTGGTCATTAGGGAAAGTGTAGTTGAAGGTGTAATTAGCTGTGTACCCCAGGGGTCAATACTAGGTCCAATCCTGCTTAATATCTTTTAATTACACCATTTAATATGGGTGGTGGTGCAGAGTGTACCCCCAGCACGTTTGCTGAAGACTCAGAACTAAGAGGAGTGGCTGATAGCGAGGGCATTGTGCTGCTATCCAGAGGGACAGTCTGGAGGAAGGTAGGAATCTCATAAAGTTCAGCAAGAGGAAATGCAAAGTCCTGTACCTGGGGAAGAACAGCCCCGAACTAGGGGCTGCCCAGCTGGAACCAGCTTTGCAGGAAAGGATGAGGGACCTGAGGCTGAAAATGAGCCAGCAGTGTGCTCTGGCAACCAAGAAGGCTAATGGTGTCCTGGGCTGTATTAGGCAAAATATTACAGCAGGTCAAAGAAGATGATCCTTCTGCTGTACTGGCACTGGTGAGGCCACACCTGGAGGGCAGTGTCTTGTTCTGAGCTTCTCAGTACAAGAGAAACATGGACATAATAGAAAGTGTCCAGCAAAAGGCCTCAAAGATAGGTAAGAGATTTTAGGCACCTCTCATATGAGGAAAGGCTGGGAGAGCTGGGACTGTTAAGCCTGGAGAAGGCTCACAGGAATCTTATCAATTTATATACATACCTACAGGGAGGGTGCAGAGAAAACAGAGCCAGGGTGATTTCAATGACAGGACTAGAGGCAATGGGCACAAACTGAAGCACAGGAGGTTCCCTCTGAACATCAGGAAACACTTTTTTACTGTGAGGATGACAAAGCACTGACAGAGTTTGCCCAGAGAAGTGGTGGTCTCCTATCTTGGGAGTTACTCAAAAGCCATCTGGACACTGTCCCAAGCAGCTGGCTGTAGGTGGCACTGCTTGAGCAGGGGTGGTCAGACCAGATGACCCGAAGTCCCTTCCCACCTCAGACATTCTGTGATTTACCAAAGTGGTTCAGAACCCCTAGCATGTGACAGTTTTTGCTGGTCAGCTGAAAGAGGACAGAGTTGTGTTACACTGGAAAGGCAAAGCTTATATGTGTTTCTATGGTGGTAAAAGTTTGTCCACTTTTATGTGAATTGCATCCAAGATTTTGCTTTTGTCCCTGCTGTGAGTAGCAGAGTTCTTGTAAGGCAACCTCTCCCCTCAGCGGAGTTTACTGAGGTGAGAGGTGAAGTGCACTGCTACTAAATGAGGGAAGTAATTTGCTGTACGCTGGCCTTCTTGCTCCTCAGATCCTTGTGTTGATGAAAACTATCTCAGCCACAAAAGGGTAGGAAGTGGATAATTTTCTTACTTGGGAGGTTAAATCAGTGCAATAAGGGAATCTGCAAGCAGTAGGATGAGAGTAAATGAATCTGAGTGGAGTGAAGGGAAAAGAGAACAAGAAAGGAACCAGGGAGATGAACCATTCTCTTTAAGAGGAAGTTAGTAGACCAGTTCATATGAAAGGTTTGATTTTGTTTAGTAACTCCTTTTTTCCATAGCCTTGCATCCTTCTAGGAGGATTATAAATGAGGTCATAGTATATTGACAGGGGAAACTAGCTACCTATCCAGCGGAGCTTTCTGTACAATCCTTTACCCACTCTGTAACACACGGGACAAGAATTTGCCCAGCCTCGTTAGTCTTAGGTTACAAAACCAGGCACTTTTTCAGACTATTACACCTGACAATATGAACCTCAGTCTTAATTTGTTCCACATACGATCCTCATGTCCTTCAGTGTGCAATGGTAATTTAAGGCAACAAAGATGAGATTCTACATGGAAATGTAAATATATTTTGTATCTTTTTAGGCTTTGATTATAAACCTTCAGGGTCATAAGATAATTACTAGTGTAATATGGTTGATTATGTAAATACTTTATTATTTTTCTTTGTGATTGTAGGAGTATATTGCAGTTTTTATCCTGAGTACTTCATTGATCATACTAGCTTTTAACTAGACCTTCCTAAAAATCAATTCATTGTAGTTTTTTGAGGATGGAGAAGGTCATAGTAAAATGATGTGGCTTTGTTGTTTTGTTTTGTTGGTTTTTTTTAACATATGCCTTCAAAAATGCCTGCAAACCTCCTTGTCTGTTCCTTATAACTCATGTTCAGTTCAGCTTTAATGTAAAAGGAACATAGTTTAGGTAACAAAGGGAAATTGTACAAAATCAACTTGTTTGGGAACACCAGACTGAAAATCACTTGCATTTTTCCATGTTTACTTTAGGTGTCAGCATGTCTCATCTTTACCAGATGGTTTTCTTGTTCAGGAGGTTAAGCTGCTGCAATCAGATCTTCTATTTGAACATAGCCGTCAGGCAATTCAGGAAGTTCAGACTAACAGCAAAACAAAACTTGTTCCTTGTGGTGCAGGTGAGTTAACTTGGGCTAGTTGCATAACTGTGTGCAAAGGTCCAAATAAAAATGAGGTGGTTTTGGTTGTTTGGAATGGAACATGAGTCATTGCCAGTGCTGGAGGCAAAGTTTGAACAGCAAGAAATTAATTTCAGGTCATACCTTAATTGTTAATAATTAATAATATTCAGCTCAGCCTCTAGTTTCAAGCAGAAACTTTTCAGACGGAATAAACACTTGGTTGATGCCATTAAGAATTTAAAATCTAAACACAGACAGAAAATGACCAGTGCAAACCAAAGTTCCGAGGGCAATAAGAAAACAAAAACGTCAAAAGACTCCTTGTTTCAGTTAGTTTTGCATTCTCCTTGGTAATGAGCAGGAGACTTACCATGCTGAGTTATGCTTGTAACTGCTCCAGAATTCTGTGAACGAAGAAAGAATACAGAGTAGTACAGTGTAAGGGTTTAATTGATAGAGACTTGGCATTTTTTTGTCGTGGTGATGAATGAATATGCAAGTCACATTATGATTTAGCAACATGGTCTTGTTTGGGGAAAACCCAATGGAACTGCCACTCTGTGTAGGGTTAAGCAGTTCCTTTACACCTGGACACGCCTGCCTTCTGCTGCTGTATGCTCTGCTCTCTGAACTGGAACTGGAAGTTTGTCTCTTACGTGGAGCTGATGGTAAAATAGAATGGAAACAAAGGGTTCCATAGTGGAATTCAGATTCGTTTGGAGCTATTTACAAGTGGCAGGAAGGAAAATATTTTGATTTTGCGAGATAGGAAACGAAATTTGTCTGAAAAATACTGCCAATTCAGTTAGCAATAGAGATCTGAAACCAATTGTGACTAAATTCAGTGCGTGTCTGTACAGTTCTTAGGTCATCCTGTTAAAAATGAACAATACTTTATCACATTTTTGTTGCATATATGAATTATAGCAGGTTGATTTTTTTTTTTCTTGAAGGGGTTAAAATCAGAATATACTCTCAAATTTTGGGCTAGAGTAATGATACTCTGTTACACTAAGTATTAAGATACGCTTGATAGAAATATTTAGCTGGTATTTAAAACAAAAAAACATGTTCTGCTTAATATCTTGAAGTTTGAGGTAACTATGAAGAAGTGAAAGACTAGAAAGCATTTTCATTTAAAAATAAATTTGGTTCTTCTTGTCAGAATCTGATATCCTCTGACCAGCTGATTTTTAGATACTTCATGTGTGGAGGGTTTAATACCAGTTGTATGTATCTGATGTTATTTGATGTTATTGATTATAACTTAGTAGAGTGATACAACAGTGTACATAAATCCCAATGCAGGTACAACTGATGCTTGGCAGAGTACAACCATTGCAGCATGCAGCTGAGTCCTAGTGCAAGGGCGAGTCTTCAGAGATAATGCATGTGCAACTGTTGTGCCCGTTAGGAACACAAAGAAATGGGAGAATGTGTGGAGCAGGAGTTGTCTCACAGCAGTAGATGTTAAAGGAACTGCTGTTAGGCTGTGGAGGGACAGATTGGACATGTCAGTGTCTGCTAACATGCTGCTGGTGCTTTGCTAGCTACTTACAAATCATAAGGTTTCCTATGCAGAGTTTCAGCATTAAGAAGTTTTCATTCTAAGATGATTACAAAGCTCCCGGGATTGGGGTAGAGGATAAGGTTGTCAGCACTTGCTATCTCTTTGAACAAAATATTTTTATTTGACTACTAGCCCATAATATTTTTCAAGCAAAGTGTACAGGTATTTGATGTGTGTCATTAATCAAACATAGAACTATTTAGAATGCACAATAAAATAATAGCAGCAATAAATCAATGAGGGAAACATGGAGTGACTGGTACAAGTAGCTTAGGGGAGCATCTCATGGCCTGAAATGAAAATAAACCATCTGACTTGGAAATTTCTTCATGCTTTGTCCTGACAGGGTACACAAAAGAAAGCAGAATCCCCTTAAGAAAGGGAGAATTACAAAGCTGGAGGCCCAATGTTTAGAGGCAAGGATTCTCAAAGGACCCAATTAAGATGAAAGCTCTGTGTGTTTTAATTTTTTTTTTAAACTAAACAGAATTTAGGTACTGGAATTCTGGCCCTAGAGAACCATGATCCTGTTTCTAGTTGGAATTATTTTGGGAAGCAGCACATGAACGAATGGAATGAAAGGAACTGTTAGGTTCTACTTTTGTGATAAGAGCATCAATCTTGTCCCTAATCCTTTCTTCTGCAGCAATCAGTTGGAGTGCAGTCCCTGAGCAACCTCTGGATGTCACCTCAGATGGCTTCCGCCAGGGAACAACAAAGAAGAGGATTGGGAGCCATCAGAGCAGGTGTGAGAATGTTGTAAGATCTGGACACATATTTTACTTGTTATCAGGCATGCCTCTGTCAGCTCGAGTGATGTGTAGTGTGTTGTCAGAGCAGAACGAAATCCAGGGAGTGGGGAAAAGGGAGAAGGCAGGGAGCGGCGAAAAGGAGGAGTCATTGTGAAAGGGAGAGAGGTCTGTTGGAATGACAGTTAACAAGTTTATGCTATTTTTTGTCACTGTTGAGATCATTGTAGATAATGGTGGGGGAGGACTGTGATCAATTTTTAATAAAAGCGTGTTTACCTGTGACGTTAACAGAATTTTTGCTTTGTATTTTTTTGGAGGTTGATGACTGTGAAGGAAATGTGTGGATTGCAGGTTCTCTTTTTACAAATTTCTTTTTCTCCTAAGAGCCAAGCCAGTCGACCTGTATGTATGACTTAAAAGTGTTGCTTTGAAACACGACTTTCTGCCTTACAGTTTGAAAATGCTTTGAAATACTTGCAGCATGTTCCTAACATGAAAAAGTCACCTTTCCAACTGTTGTCTTGGCACTGTGCTCTTTGAGAAATGTTATCATCTTCTATCAACATTAATGTTTAAAGAAACATATTTTTCTTGTGGTTGAGAGGAATTACTTGTAAGCATCTGCAGACAAATTTCTCCATCTCTACACTATCTTCAGTTTCGGTGAGGCGACCAAAATTACTAGCGGTCTGTGGAAATCCAGCTTGAAGGTTGGGGTTTGTGGTTTAGCTGTTGGCTGCTTATACTGCCAGTTTATCAATGGTCATAGGGTTCATGTTCACCAGACTTCCTAGGAGGAAGATGAAAATCCTGACAGTATGAACAGTGTAATAAGTAGAGCTTAGACAATTCTTGTGGAGAATTTATTCACATGCCTGCAAGTTGCCCATTCTGAGCTTCTTGAAGTTAGGCCTGACTTGACTGAAGTTTATCCTGGTATCTCCTAGTATTTCCAAATTTTGTGTGGAAAGAAGAGGACCAGGAACTTTGTGGTTTGTCACCAGTATTGGTGTATGGGGTATTCGTAACACAGGTGACTTAGTGTGTCTTTTGAGACAGGCTTTGTGTGCACTCTAGAAATAGTGGTTTTCCATATGTGGTGTGTATTGTATCCAGAAGAGGTGTGAAAGATCCAACCAGCCAGCCAACCTCGTTTCTCAGTAGGCTTACATTTGTTACATAGCATTTGTGTATCAGCTCTAAACTCAAGAGCCATCTGCTAGCTGCCAGTTGGCACAAAACTGTAGGAACTTAATTATTGTTGAGAGATCCTCCTCTCAACATGTGCTGGAAACTCACTAAGAAGTTAGAAAGCTGTTAGAGAGAGCATACAAGTCTGTGTGATTACAAATGTCTCATGTCCTTAGGAAGTCAGAATTAAAAGTCATCTCAAGGAACAAGTAAAATACTTATGCTTTTGTGATGGTCACAAAAGGAACTTTTATAATGAAAAGAAGGAATTTGCATCCTTATTGGGAGAGGTGTGTGTGGCTAGTAATAAATACGGCTTGTATTTCTACACTTCTTTTCTCTCAAGGAATCTCAGGGTGATTGCTGGGGGTGTTGTCTGATGGTTTTTCACCCCTTCAACATATGCCAGATAACACTAAATATCAAGAAAGGTAGAATTGACTGACTAAAAGGAATTTGTAGGTAAATGTCTGGTATGTGCTTTTGTTAATGCTTTATTACCTAAACCACCACCAACTACAATATGAACCTTTGGCAGATTAACTCGAAGATGAAATTTTAGAGCATCTTTGCATGCCCTGGTCACCAGTTCCACAGGGTCTGTTTTAGGGCCAGTGCGCTTCAGCATCTTCATAAACAGCTCGGATGCAGGACTCCAAGGTACACAAGTAAGTTTGCCAATGATGCTAAACTGTGAGGAGCTGTTGACTCCCTCAAAGGAAAGAGAGGCCCTGCAGACACCTAGACAAATGAGAAGGCTGAGCACTCACCAACCTTTATAAGTTTTAACAAAGACAAGTGCTGGATTCTGCACCTGGGATGGAGCAACCCTGGATGTACGGGCAGACTGGGGAACAAGAGGCTTTCAGCACCATGGAAAGGGACCTGGGGGTCCTGGTCAACAGCAAGTCAAATATGAATCTGCAGTGCCCTGACAGCCAGGAGGGCCAACTGTGTCCTGGGGTGCATCAGGCACAGCATCACGAGCTGGTCAGTGCAAGTGGTGGTCCTGCTCTGCTCTGCATTGGTGTGGCCTCACCTCAAGTCCTGGCAGCAGTTTTAGGCACCAGAATATAAGAAGAATATATAGCTGTTAGCACGCAGAGGGAGAGCCATCAAGATGATGAATGGTCTAGAGGGGAAGCCATACAAGAAGCAGCTGAGGTCACTCAATTTGCTCAGCCTGGAGGAGACTGAGGGGAGACCTCATAGCAGTCTACAACTTCCTCACGAGGGAATGCAGAGGGGCAGGCACTGGTCTCTTCTCTCTGGTGACCAGTGATAGGACCCAAGGGACCACCATGAAGCTGTGTCAGGGGCGGTTTAGGCTGAATATTAACAAAAGATTCTTCACCTGGAGGGTGGTTGTGCACTGAAACAGGCTGCCCAGGGAATTGATTACAGCACCAAGCCTGGCAGTGCTCAAGGAGCATTTGGACAACACTCCAGGCACATGGTGGGATTCTTGAAGTTTTCCTGTGCCAGTAATTAGACTTAATGAACCTTGTGAAGATCTGTAATTCCATGCAATTTTGGCGGTTCTTAAAAAAACATGCTAGCAACATAGGAAGATTTTTTTGATTGACTTTTTTTTCAGTGCTTCTAGAGAATCAGCTTGCACTTGTTGGAGAACTGAATCAGTCATTGTGAAGACAATTGTATAAAGATAATTTAATCCAATAGAGAAAACAGCTGGGGCTTTCAAAGATAAATCATGCTTTATAAACAGTGCTTCTTGTTGTCACCTCTTTGGGGAAATGGAAGGGCTTAAATCTGACAGGTGCACATGGTATCTTCGAAATGTCTTTCAGACTTTGACTTGCTTTATTTTTTGATGAGCCTCATTGTATTTGATCTGTTTGATCTGTTCTGGGATGAGTAATGTTGGCTAAACCTTGCTGCAGTTGTGAGCTGATGGCAGTGCAGCCCCATGCAGATACCAGTGTGGTGCTACCAAAGTGTTCTCTCTGCAAACTGACAAGATGCTGGCTGGGACAGTGGAGGCAATGCAGCTCTTTGTCAATTGTAGCACTAAAATGAAAGGAAAAGGCAGGTGGGCATCTTGCATGGGGTGGGAAATGTTAAGTGGTGGAGAACTTTTTACATTCTTTGAGAAGTGAACATAATGCTTTGTATCAAAACTGTTCAGCTGGGAGGTGCTGTGGTGTGAGGGGTAAGAGAAATGCATTTCTGATTTCTCTTTTCCATCAGGATTTCTAATTTTTTATTTTATTTTATCAGATCCAAGATCTGTAAAGTGGAGCTCTTCCATACGTTCCAACAGCTGGTGTCAAGTATTTCACAAGAGGATCTTCCAGATACTCTCCGGTAAAGACATTATCATATTCAGAAGTTATCTTACTGAAACTGAAGAATACTGTGATGATAGCAGAATCTGTTCCTGAATCTCACTTTAGATAAGTTCATTCTTGAAACCTGTTACTTGAAAAATGTGTGAAGAGAGACACGAGAGGAGGAAGTATTATCCTTTTTGAGAACAGGAGCTATTAGATGAGCTGCCTGCAGCACTCTGCCCTTGGTAGTGTTCAAACTCTATGTCCCAGAATTGTCATGGAGCTATTGATATCCTGTTGGTGTTTAGTAATTCACAAGAAGGAAGAATTTGAGTTTTAAAAAAAAAGATTTTTTTTTTTAATGTCTAGGCAGAAGTATTTTTCATCTTAGTGTACAGTGGCCTAAGAGCTAATAAGGTGAGATAGTGTGAGGGCTCTTTCTGCAATGCATGTATTATGTAGATGGAGACTTGCTGGAAAGAACAGAAAGAAGCTTTTGTCTGAGGAAGCCATAATTGGAATTTTCCTTTACATTCTTCAAAACAAATTTGGTTTATCAGACTGGAGTTACTTACTTGCAGTAATCATCCAGTCTGACATGACATCCCATGCATTATGTGTTTGATGGTATTCCAGCCCGAAGTGCTAACATAAAGCAAGGCATCGTTTCACAAGCACAGCAACTTCTCTCTTTGGCTTAGAGAGTACAAGGTTCTAAATCCATTGCCATGGAAGGTTTATTTTATTTTAGATTTATTTCCAGGTATGATTTCACCAGGTCTAGGATGCAATTACACGAACTCTCAAGCCACTTTAACTGCTTGCAGCTGCTGATGGGGATGGTCCCACAGCAGTCTTTGCTGCTGCTGGCTTTAGATTCCTGTTTTCTCACTTGTATCATTAACACTTCTCCCGTCTCATGGTGAGCCAGTTCAACTAGCTACTGTGGCCAAAAGCAATTTCCTTATCTTCTGTGTTTTCTCTTGGACTAATGAACTGAATTGGCTCATGGAAGGCTAAGACAGATAAAACCCATGCAAAGGAAGTAGGAGGTATGTGTGGCTGGAAGCAAAGGAGACAGGTTATTTCAGCCTTTCATGGTACCTAGTAGATGCACTGAATTTAGCCAGAGTAAGTGCACCCTGGATCAGTAATTAATAGCTCTTGCTTGCTTTCGAGTATTGTTGAATTAAAGATTGCAGTTACCTTCTGTGTCTGTAGAAGTCTCATAGCTGTTGTAACATTCCAATGTCAGTGTGACCCATGCTATTGCTGAGGTGCTTTCAACTGATTCCATAAGTAGAGATACACTTTGTCCTTAATTCAGTTTCAAAAATAAAATTATTAGCCTGTTTTTGGGTGGGAGTTTGTCCTCACTTGTTTAGCCATCATAATTTTCCTCAAAACAGGTTGTGAGCTGGTGCAGTGTTGGGTAGGTGACTCATGGTGCTGATCATCTGCTGCTTACATAAAGTCACTTCACCTCAGGGCTTTTCTAGACTCCAGTGGCTTTGTCATTTCCTTTGACTTTTTTGTCCTCTGCCGTTTTTCTGTCTGGGCTTCTCCTGATGAAGTGCAGCTGATCTGCAGATGTGACATTGTTTTTATGCAGCACAGACTCTGTTCATAGAGGTGCTAGCTCACCAGTCAGCTTGTGCAGCTGATTTCCTTTGAAGTTTTTGGTTTTCCTACTCCTCACTTACAAAGCAAAATAAAAAAGGGACTTTATGTTGCTGTTTCCTTTTTCTTCCCTTTCTCTTTCTACACGAAATTATATGTTTTCTTTTCTCTTTCCTCCTTGGAGCCTGAGTGAACTTCAGATAAGAAATCCCACACTCTCAAATTGTTTCCTCTAAATTCCTGTGTATTTAACTGTTTTGTATTTTCTTCCCAATCGAATGTGTCATTATTTCCTCCCATAAATGGCTGGCTCTAGTGCTGTGCTGTCACCCAGTTACCATTTCCCACTTCGACTCTAAGTTCCTGCCCTGCCTCTTCTAGTCCATTTTTCCATCTCTTGCCTTCCATCCTGTCAGCTCCTTCAAAGGAAAGTCGTTCTGTAGCACTTGCAAATTTGCTGAACAGCTTGTGTTGTAGTTGTAGGGTGTATTAGCACAAGGATTGTTTTTTCACTTAACCCTTCCTTTATCTGTTGTTGCTCACTGTCTGACCTAGCCACTGGAGAAGTTAAAGCTTTACATGGAACTAGTATACTGATTCTGATGTTCTTTTGGGTTTGTCTTTTGTGTGTCTAGTGCTGCTTCTGCTGCTTCTTGTGTCTTCCTTTCTCTCTCATTCTTTGCTCTTGGCCAGAGAATCAATGTGGGCACTGTTAAATCTGAACAGGTAGAGAGTCTACTGGGGCCAGAACTTTGCTGGCTCTCCTAAAAGGCGAATTTATATATTTGTAGTGGTGTAGCCTAGCTAAGAAGCTAAGCATCACATTCAGCAATTGGTTTTTTCAGGATTTAGTTTATTTACTTTCAGCTGAGGCTGAGAAAGGAGGTGGTGTTTGGCTGGCATTAGCTACTTCTTCACCAAGAACCAGATAGTGCTGTATTGTGCTGTCCCACTTTATTTCTTCCTTTCTGATACTTTCTGGGATTTGTCTTCTGTGCCCTACTTAAATTCTCACTCACCTCTCTAGCTAGACTAACTGAAACGTTGTTTCTTTATAACCTCTTACCTCCACCTGCTATACTTCCTTCTCATCTGTTAACTCCCCCTCACATGTTTGTTTCATGTTGGTGTTTTGAAATTACTGGTGCATAAATCTTTCTTTTTCATGCTTTTCGTGTTTTCCATGCTCACTATCAACGGAATGATGACACACTGACACACTGTTAGACAGTGTTATGCCATTGCTAATCTGAATTGTTACATAAAATCCTCTGTATTAATCCTCTGTTAGTGGTAATATGGCAAAGGAGTTTTTTTGCATTTTTGATTTTTTTTTTCCCTGCAGTTAGGAAAAATACATGTCTGAGGAAGTGAGAACCTTCTTTTGTCATACAGTGGCATCCACCATACAGTCACCAGACATTGCTGTTTGTACAAGGTGTGTCTGGCTGTGAGACCCTTTGTCTGAATCTGAGGGCATCTTTGTAAAAGAAACCTGCCCGGATTTCCTTGCTGGGCTTGTTAAATGGATGACTGATTCTCTTTTCTCTTAAGCTGTAGTCAGGAGCCCTCACAATTAGGACTGTATTATTCTCCCTCCTTCCCGTTCAGTCTGCAGTATGGACAATGCTGGTTCCAGTGGCACCAAATTGGAGAATGGGTGGGCTGTTGTACAGAGGAGTGCAAGGACTTTCAGGTGGCTCTAAGAACCTTCACTTGGGCTTCATGTTTAAGACTTTTGCCAGTGAACGACGAAAGGATTCAACCAGGTGACTGCTAAATATTTCCTGCTGGAGGGACTGAAGATGACTGTAAAGAAATGTTGGCCTCATGAAAGTAGCTGTCATCAGGGGTGGTGGTACAGTTTCACTGCTGTTCTCCAGTTGAAAAAACGCAACACAAACATTTGACAAGAATTTTGTTCCAATTTTCTAGTTCCTTTCCAGTTTTTAAAGTGAGC